AGTGCAGTTGTTCCGCAGCTGCCAGACCACTTCATCTCAGTAAAGTAGTCTGGGTGCAGTGAACTTTTAGTTTTAACCCTTTCATGTAAAAACATTGCCATTTAATACATACGGAAATGTTTACACTCAATGGTAAAACACAAATCTAGTGGCTGTCATCCTGACAAACATTAGAGACGTTTCAAATATGAGGGACGAGTCAAACTTGGTTTAGACAGCTAACCTTCATTTCATTGGAGGAGCAGAACATTCACTATGGGTACACTTTTCTTCCCCAATAAGAAAACTCTATTGGACTCTATTGGACATATAGAAAAGTTGACCTTGATATCACTGAAGGGGATCAGGTGGATTCAGGGACTTGATCTCAGTGCTAGAAAAACAGGTAAGTAATTCTCTTTATTCCAGTTATTATTTAGATTTAGGGGGCATGAATCTAAATAAAGTGAAGTGCCCTATAGCGGAACCCTCTAAGCAGATGCTTCCTTTGGTGGACGAAATGGACACAGCAAAGGTAGACACGAAAATAATTAATAAGGGTTTATTAAAAATCAAGTGGTTAATTAAAAAATTAGGCTTAAATAAAGATTTCTTTCATCTCACCAATTCTGGTATAAGGTTATAAAATTCAGTTTACAATACACCAATGTAATATACTGAGGCTCAATATGTCTACAAAAGGTTTGCTTGAATTTACGATGAGACATTTATATTTTCTCAAAGGCTTAACTCCTGGTCTAAAAACTTTCAAATAATACTTTTAGTTGTAGTTAATGAAATATACCTGCAGAGCCTCGGCAGTGGTGAGCAAGATTGTTATACCAGCCATCATAGCGCTGAATCTCCCAATGAATATTCCTTTGTGCATCTATAAAGAAAAAAATATATGTTTTTAAAGAGAAATCAAAGGAGAAAACTTGAATGAAACCTTACTAAATATGCTCATATTCTCAACTGGGACAACATATTCTTTGCCAGCTAAAGTCTTTGAATTCTTGTTAACTTCAGCAGTGGTGTCTGATCTATCAGCATTCATATTAATGTTTAATTTAAAGTATAAAAAAAAATACTGTAATGAAATACAATAAAAAAAATTGTTTGATTATTTAGTTTGATTCTGCATATCTTGTTCCTCGATTTGGGAAATTTGGAACACTTTAAACACCCTGGAATCAGAGGATATATATTTTTAACTTGATCCAGTGTAAAGTGGATATTCAATACCTAATTCTGATTAAACCCACCTCTGAGGAAGTGGACTAAGGAATAAGGACTTAAATATAACGCATTATCAGAGCAACATCACCCCCAAAGCACTATGGCCTTATTTTCTAAGCGCTAACATTTTTTATACATTTAATTCTAGTACTATTATTTATTATTAGTATTATTTATAAAATATTTTACCAGGAAGGATACATTGCGATTTCTTTCGCTTTCAAGTATCTCCTGGGTCCACAAAACATTGCATTGATACAATAGGGTACAATAAAATACAAAAACAATATTAACCCACAATAAATACAAATTTAACATAGAACAGGTAAGAAATATATAATGAACCCAGACAGGTGCATTCTGTTTTGAGATATATAGAGAGGGATCTCTTAAAGTATATTATCACTTCTCCACAAGCTCTTTCCCCACAGTTCTTGGTCAACCCATTTTCAAGTTAAATTAAAACTAGGAGTCATTGAGACATCGAGAAATGCAACCTGTAATCCACTTGCCAGAATTGCTTGCACTTGCATATTAGCAATATCAATGTATTATATCCATGTATAAATGTGATTTAATGACTAAGAGGGTCAGCAGGTGGGATAGGGGGGCTGCAGGTGCCTTGAAGACCTTGAGTTTTGGTGAAAAAGCTTGAAAACACTTTGGATGCCAAGGAACGGAATCATGACACCATAACCACAACATTGTCATTGCTATTTTAAGGTATGTTACAATCATCTTATGTAATACAAACAATAAGTGTGTTTGTGAAATTATATCCGGCATATTAAATATGACCCTATATAGACTATTGCTAAGAAATGTTTTTCTTAGTATGAGTCAATTGTGTAAACACACAATATCTTATTAAATATGTAAAATAATTAAATAGGGAAAGGTATCCCTCATATATAACTGAACACATGTTTACACACCCATCTCATGTTCCTGTATTCTTTTATATATCTTCTCCTACATTTATTCTCTAGTCTAGTAAAATCCATTTCAAAATGAATGAAAATGCACTTACATGTAAAATTCTGCAGCACAGCAAAACATAGACAAATATAGCATTGCCGAAGAGTTGTCTTCATTTCCAAATAAGTACCACTAAAAAAAAGTAAATAAAAATGTATATTTAAAAACATAAAATTTTAGAACATGACAGATTAATCCAAACAGCAATGTACAGATGACTGTAGGCTTTATTTTTTCAGAAGGGTACATATAATTATGATGGTTTTGCTTAGTATTGGGCATTCTAAAAAAGAGAGAGAGGGTTTGTTCAAGTGTATATTGTCTCATTGTCACTTCAACCACTTCATGTTTCTTATTAAAACACCAAAACAGAATATGAGCTGGGGCCTGACCACCATGGAGAGAAAAGGCAGCCTCTGAAAGCTCCTCTATGTCTTTGTAATCTTAGCTTAATTTCAGTGATTTCTACAAAATAATAGCTTCCCGTCAGCGTCAGTGAACTAGGAGAAATACTCTGGCACATTTCCAGCTTGCTTAATCTATGTAAGTCCCATGCAGCTTAGAGATCTGAGCTCCTGCAGTTATGGTCTAGTCAGGAGAGACTATATTTAAAAGAAGAAAATCTACCACAACAAAAGGACATAGTCTTAAATTAGAGGGACAAAAGTTTAAAAATAATATCAGGAAGTATTACTTTACTGAGAGGGTAGTGGACGCATGGAATAGCCTTCCAGCTCAAGTGGTAGAGGTTAACACAGTAAAGGAGTTTAAGCATGCGTGGATAGGCATAAGGCTATCCTAACTATAAGATAAGGATAAGATAAATACTACTCTTACATTGTTGGTTTAAAAAATCACACTTCTTTGTGCTAAATAGAACATTTGCGGCCTGTGGTGCATTTCTTGCAGTCCAATAAAACCCTTAAATACTACTCTTACATTGTTGGTTTAAAAACTCACACTTTTTTGAGACAGTGAAGTAACTATTAATTACGCCTGTCACACTGTTGTGTGACCTCTAGAATTTGTTTCTCTTTAGGACACCGGCACTGCCTTACTGTCAGTGAACTTAATTGTTGACTATTGGCGGTTACATTGTCGTCTGACATAAACCATCTGTTAGTTTGGGCCTGAGGCGGATAGCAGTTTGGCGCATGTCCTTCCGCCACCGAGGATTGCAGGGCATTTCTTGTTGCCTCCTCCTACTCCGCTTTCTCCTCCTTGTGGTGAAAGTGACCTCGCCACTGGTTTTTGGAGGGGCCTATTTGCCAGCCTCCTGCCATGTGACTATGGTGTCTGGGATGTATTGCCCTTTAAGGAACTGAGTTGGGGCTTATGGACTTATATTATACTGTTACTGACCCTTTAAGAACTGTATTTGGACATAATGGATTTTTATAATGCTGTTTCTGGCCCTTTAATAACTTTGGAGTAGTGTTGCAACTTTAAATTGGCACTTCGGATACAGTCGAAGTGCTGAAGTAGTCGAAGTGGCCGCCATTCGACAAACGAACACGTGGCGGCGGCCATCTTTGTTCATTCGAACGAGATCAGCGATATGTGTAGCCAAGTCCATGGAACTGAAATCGACTACACATTTCAACGAACACCGCTGGCCCTTACCTTCTCCTGCACTGAGTTTCGAAGATTCGAACGCACGTTCGAATGGGACTTAGTCATTTTTTTTTCAGTGTGAAATTGACCGACCTCAAAGCCCAAATCTATGGAACTGTTTTGGGCAGGAAAATGTGCTTGCGGTCGTTCATAAAGGACTTCCAGCTAACTCTTTAACCCCTGTATGGAATTGGCTGAATTTTGGATATGTTTGTAAGTAAAGTGTGCAGAGTTCGAAAGTATATGTTTTTATGAAGATTGAATGTATATTTTTAAAGTTACAGTGTATGTGTAAAAAGTATATTTTTCCTGCCTGTGATAATTATTTTAACCCATTGTGTTCAGTAATTATGTCACAGGCAGAGGGGAGGGTTTGTGTGTAATTGATGGGAGTGTTTGTACTGTATATTACGTGTTTATTGGTTGTTCTGTAAAACCCTGTGGGCGGTCCTGTATGTGTTAAACCTGAATAAAAGAAGGCCCTTTGGTGCCAAGTAAAACAGAGTTCTACTTCACCCTCAATCTAGAGTCCTGTCTCTTATTGGGGGAATTGCTATATCACTACAAGGGATTGCTCTGCTCTGCATGCTCCCTTGGATAATCACTTCTAAGCTCTTTTAAGAGCTTGTTCCTGTCTTGCTCTCTGAAGGAGTCTATGGTGGTTATGGTGTCGGCTGGAGTGCTTGGAGTCCTTAGGAAGCGCTAGGAGCATCTTTCAATGGAGGTACCCAGTCAAGGTGCCAGGTGATCCTCTACTACCTCTTCGTCCGGTCAGCATAACACCTTCACCACCAACTTCAGCACAGCCAGGGGGAAACGACAGCAGGCTCTTTTAAAACTCATATGTTTGGGGGGAAAACCCCACACCGCGCAGGAGCTGTGAACAGGCATGGAACAACAGACTGATGAGTGGTTGTTGCCACTGAGCCTCAAGCCCGGCCTGGTGGTGTGCGATAATGGGCAAAATCTCGTAGCAGCTCTGGGCCTAGCCGGTTTGACGCACATCCCTTGCCTGGCGCATGTGCAGAATTTGGTGGTGCAGAAATTCCTGAAAAACTACCCAGAGTTATCAGAGCTGCTGCAGAAAGTGTGGGCCGTCTGTGCGCGCTTTTGGCATTCTCACCCTGCTGCTGCTCGCCTGTCTGCACTGCAGCGTAACTTCGCCCTTCCCGCTCACCACCTTGCACATGCTGGAGAGACTGTGCAAGCAGCAGGCGATAGTGGAGTTTCAGCTGCAGCACGCACAGGTCAGTCGCTCTGCACCAGAATTGCCCTCCAATAGATCCTCGTTAAAGGATTTAAAGTGTACTCATTCCAATTACAGGGCCTCGAAAGAGTCCTGTATTGTTATTTATCGTCACTACCTCCCCGCGTCAGGAGTGGGTAATTTGCGTGCCTGTTGCCGTTCTTGGATGTGGTAGCAGTTTCTCAGGCTCCCTCTCCAGAATCGAACCCTGATTCCCCGTTACCCGTGGCCACCATGGTAGGCGCAGAAAGTACCATCGAAAGGTGATAGGGCAGACTTCCGAATGCGTTGTTGGCCATCACGGGGACGTGTGATCGGCCCGAGGTTATCTAGAGTCACCAAAGTGCCTGCGCAATGACTGACACATTACCCACATTTTAACTTGTGCTCATTACTGGGTGGCCAGCCTGCTGGATCCCTGTTACAAGGACAGCGCGCCGTCCTTAATTCCCTCACTAGAGCGTGATCGGAAGATGTGGAGGAGGAGGAAGAGGTCACCAACTCAGCTGTGGCACCGCCAGCACCTCAGAAGGCAGGGTTAGCATGGCCAAAATGTGGAAAAGCTTTGTCAGCACGTCAAAACAACCAGCACCACCAGCTGATATGGAACTTCTTAGCAGGAGGCAGCATTTCAGCAAGATGGTGGAACAGTACATGTGCACACGCCTACATGTACTGACTGATGGGTCTGCCCCATTCAACTTCTGGGTCTCCAAATTGGCACAACGTGTGTTCCCCGTTACCAATGGTCACCATGGTAGGCGCAGAAAATTGCATCGAAAGTTGATAGGGCTGACATCCGAATGCGTTGTCGCCATCACGGGGACGTGCGATCGGCACAAGGTTATCACAGACAAGCGCAGCCGCTTGGCCATGGCCAACGTGGACAAGCTCACGTTTGTTAATATATGCAAATTGGGGTTTCAAGAAGCAGATTCCGTTACAGATATTGTTGTATTACAAGCCACCCTTTGTAGTTGAGCTATAAGAAGACAGGTTCAACTTGAGTGGCTTCTGGAGACTTTTCATAGAAACCTACCATATGATCGTAGCCAAAAATTGCTTAATAGTAAAACTCTAAATAAAGATTAAATAAGAAATCTAAATATTTTAATAATTTGATGGGTCATTTGTAGTGACATAGCAGCAATACATGTATAAGTCATCTGTAAAATCTCGGGAAGAAATAAATCAGATACTTAATGTCCAGAAATGCTAAATGTCCCCCTCCATCCTATGTGCAGTTTATTATCTCCAGGGCTATATGTTTTCTGTGGAACTCCCTTCCCTTCTCCGTTAGACTTTCACCCAGTCTCCATTACAAGCATATCAATTAAAGTGTTAACAGCTTTTCATCTCAGCACCCTGACTCCTCTCCTGCAACTGTCAAAGATAACCTAATAAGCCCTAAGTCAATTAATATTGACTGGACCCAGGGCAAAGCACATCCTTGGGTCCCTTGGATATTGACCCCTCCCCACTCCCCGGCATGCAATCACTTACTCTAACTCAATGCAGTGGCAAAACTAAAGTAGAGAGGTGCACGCATTTTTTTGAGCCACTCTATCGTATGATTGACCAAAAGGTAGGTCCCATCTGTCGTGCAACTCCAACAATGCATTGACAGCTGGGGCTCTACAACCCAGCTTTTCAGGGTTGTATTTAGCACTGATCAGTGTTTGTGTGTTTGAATGTAAGCATGTTTTTGTATGGAGTATGTTTTTGTAAATGTAGGGGTGTGTTGTATGTGGTGTTGGTGTTTGAGCGCATGCTTGTATATATGTGTAGTGCTAATTTTTGAATGCGGGGTTGTGTTTATATATAATTTTGATGTTCAACACAGATGTGTGTTTGTATGTAGTGTTGAAGTTTGAGTACCGAGGTGTATTTGTGTGTAGTGTTGGCATGTATGCATAAAAAAACAAGTAAAAATGTCGCTGAAAATATAACCTTAATATTTCTAATTTAAAAGCAGCACCTTATAATATGAGAAACTCAAACCACATAAAATAACCTAAAACAAACCATAAAGTGTGCTGTGTCTTTAACACAAAGAAATAAATTAAATAAAACCACTTCAATCACACTAAATGTACTAAAGTGCATATGTTATATATCTGTGCAAATTGCTGTGTAAAGAACAAAAATAAAGTGAATTGTGCAGCAAAAAACACTCTAAAGGTGCAATACAGTGCCAACCTTAACTGCTATTGCAATTGTGCACCTTCATAAATTGCATAATACTCTATATATATATAGCAGGTATGATTTACCATATACAATTAGTAATTGTATTAATCAGCAATCCTCAGGGAATATACCATGTAAAGGTAACAGAAAAAAATTCATACATTTGGTAATATTGTAAGGCAAAAGCTAAAGTAGAATAAGGGACAAAGAAAGTCTGCTCTTACTTTAATGGCTTTTTAGAACAAGCATATGATGTCTGGAAGCTGTAATAGATTTGAAATCCTTTATTGAAATGATTAAAAATCACAGGCAGACAGCTCCACTTAAATGTAGTTAGACCTTTCCTTCCAAGCTCCCCTCAATCCTATTTGCAACTGCAGGTTGAATGAAGGGCTCAGGATTCGGGTATTCTTCGCTCGCAGATTTCCGAGAGGCAGGGCTATGCGGCCGGTGTACGTGATGATGTCAGAAGGCATGATGAAGCATTTCGCTGAATTTCATCAGCTTCCTCAAATCTGCCTTTGCATCAACTCCAGTCTCTTATAAAGTCCCCAGAATAACCACTCTAGAAGTTCGACAAGGCTCCTTCCCAATTGGCTACTTTATAAGCCTCTGTGACGGACCGCCTGGTACCCCTACCAGGTGGGGTACCTCCGTCAATCGCTGTATAGTCGGAGTATAGTGATTACAGCAATCTACAGAGTATGAATATAGTTCTCCAATCCCCCAAACATGACTTTTAAAAAAAGGTTTCTGTCCCCTTGTCCGTGGGAACATTTCCACCGAACAGTCCCTTTCTAAGTGTTGTAGAACCGAACGCAGGGAGTTTCTGTGCCCGTTTTCAGTTCCATGAGATTCATGCCTAAACACCGCTGCCTGCTTTCAGGCAAACAAGATGGTCTCCACCTTATGGTCGTCCATAGGAATTGCGGCCATCGAGACGAACACTTAGAATTAGGCTTAACAAGCTCCAGGGTGGTCTTCGGTTTGTGCAGCTGTTCGGTTCCCGAACCATATATAAAATCCCAGAAACCAAGTCTGTTCACGTAGCTTTGTTTTTTTGAGCCCATAGTATTTTGGTAAGAGGCTGGCCAGCAGGCTCCTCCAAACACCCGTGATGAGGTTCAGTTCGTCACAGCCTCTATTAACATCTGTATCAAGACCAGAGACTCAAACCTCAGATTAGGAGATTGGCTTGACAGAATCATTGAGGCAAATTACCTAAACATTGAAAATGCTCCATATATTTATACAACTACATATCCAAAAGAAAGTAAAAGTAACATACATAAAAAAATAGAATTTATAATCAACTCTCTTCTTATTACATTAGCACCTACTTATAAACAAAAAGAGAGGAGACATTAATACTTACATCTTGATGTACACATCAAATACATATTGTTCCATACCTATATTTTCTCATTTAGAGCCAATAACAGAACAAAGTGGGTATAACAGTAACCTCTGGAGCCTATATAAAATATATTATATACAGAATGATACTATATAAAATTATATTAAAAAAATAAAAATTATATTTATATTAGAAAGAGATCATATATTATATTAAAAAAATTAGAAAAAGTAAAAAAGATCAAATTCTATATTAAGACTTTATGGCTCCAGAGTTTTCAAATAATTATTAGTTAAGAGTCATTCAATACTATTTGTTAAAAAAAATCTACGTGCTCTTCTGAAAATTTTCCAGTTCCTTGTAAACATTCACGTATTACTTTACATCCTAAATTATGAGGTATAGAGGTATACAAGGGTGATGCATCACTTGTCACCAGAATAAATGTATCTTTCCACTCTATACCACGTAAAATACTAATAATATCCCTAGTATCCTTTAAATATGACGGCATGGCTTTTATTATATCTTGTAAGTGGATTTCAACATATTTGGATAAATCGGCTGATATAGAGCCTATGTCAGAGACTATGGGTCTACCAGGGGGGTTAGTTGCATCCTTATGCACGTTTGGCAGGATATAGAAGGTAGGCACATGTGGATGTTCATTTTTAAGACAATTGTACTCCTCATTATTGAATATACCCAACTCCCTACCTCTGTCCAAAAGTGCATAAAGAGATAATTGAATATTAGGCGTAGGGTCTCTATCCAATTCACTGTAGACACCTTTGTCTCAGCTGTCTATAGCATTCTTTTAAATACGATCTCCACACATCGTATGCTTAGTCTAAAAAGCCATTAAATTTAGAGCAGACTTATTTACTCTACGTTTGTGAGTGTTTCTTTGTCCCTTATTCTACTCTTGCTTTTGCCTTACAATATTACCCTATGTATGCTTTTTTTCTGTTCGCTTTACATAATATACTCCCTGAGGGTTGCCGAATTATAGAATTGCTAATTGTATATATTGTATATGGTTAATCATATCTGCTTCATATATATATATATTTATTTATATAAATATATATATGAGTAGTATGCAATTTATGAAGGTGCACAATTGTAATAGCATCTAAGATTGGCACTGTATTGCACCTTTAGAGCGTTTTTTGCTTATTTTTGTGCTTTGCACAGTGATTTGCACAGACATATAACATATGCACTTTAGTATATTTAGTGTGATTGAAGTGTATTTATTTAAAAATTAATTTGTCTGAAAGACACAGCGCACTTTATGGTTTGTTTTAGTGTTGGCATGTGAATGCTGAGATGTTTGTACACACCCACACACTGAAATACATGCAGATACACAGATGTACACACTGACACACATGCAGATAGAGTTAAAATTATTAAACAAAAAAGCGCAAATAATACAAAAAATATAAAGAATAATAGTAAAACTATAATAAATTATTAGCTGCTAAACACACAAAAGATTATTCCTAAAATCTTAGAACAAATAGTGAGTTAAAAGTGTAAGCCCTTAGTAGATCAGTCCCATAGTAAATTCGAATGGGTTCTAATACAAATAATCTGATCATCACTTATTTTCACTGTGTTAGCGGCTATTTATAGCAATAGTTGGGAATACCCGTGTTTTTTAAAACATAATACATTTTGATTATTTTATAAAATTTATGTTTATTGGTATACTCTTGCACACCACTGGGGAAGTGTGTATAGATAAATAGGTTCTGCACAATATTGCTAATATATCTGTATTAGAACTCATTAGAATTTACTATGGGACAAATCTACTACTGACAGACATATTGACACAAATTCCCAGACACACTGA